CGATTCAAAGAGTGTAGATGTGGTTAAACAGAATATCAACATCTATACTCACATTCTTCTTGTTATTATTAAAAGTACTGGTTATAAATACAAGTTTTAATCCAGATTTGTGCAACTTTTTCTTAAACTCTAACGACATGGTTTTTAAAAGTCTTCGTTAAAACTTCAATGGCTAAAATATGTTTAATGAATACATGTAATCGACTTATTTACTAGTTAAATCAATGATTGAAATCATAATAAAACATACGATATGAAATATAAATCAATAAGCCAAACAGAAATTAGAGCACAAAATAAATGACCATCTATTCTGATTGATTTAGAAAATTTAGATATGATTGTTATAATAGAGACCGATTCTAGTAAAAAGAAAAAAAAGTAGATAAATTAATTCTTGTTGCTATGTTTCCATTTTATGAATTGATATTTTTAGTCTTTCTTGAGGGTGTGGGCAGGCTCCCCGATTAGGGGGGGGCTGGGGGGGTCTAGCCCCCCCCCCAAACTTGAAAAACTGTCCGACTTTCTGCGAAAATTTCTTATACTTTCTGCCAATTTTTTTGAAAATTTGGTAGTAATATCTGGCAGAAACTCAGTTTTTAAGCACTAATCACCATTTTTCTGGCAGAAAGTCAAAGGACAATACTTTCTGTCAACAAAATCTTGCAGAAAGTCGATCAAATTAGCATTTGTTGTTCAATTTCTGCCGGAAAGGCAACTGAGACACTTTCTGCCAAAATTTTTAGACTTTCTGCCGAATTTTTAGCCCCTTCCACTTTTCAAAACAATCGGGAACCCTGGGTGTGGGTATGGATGACAGAGAAAGAGAGAGTATATGATTCATCAACATATCCAAACAACATCTACATTCACACCGTATTTTGAATGTGTTCAAGTAAATCAGTATATAATTTTTCTAGATTCGATTCATTTATGAATGCTTGTTCAAATTGACGTCAATGTTCAATATTCGTTAACTAAAAAAAATAAAATAGATTTTGTTTTTTTGTTGATACAATTGATATTTGCATGTTTTCTTTTAATATACCTGCATATACTATTTTCGATCAGCAATAAGAAATAAACGATTGTCTGATTCTTCGAAACGAACACTGAAACGTGATAACATCAATAAAAACTTAAAAAAGTAAAAGATATACAATATTATCAATGAAAATTCATTTTGACATTTCATGGCGAAATTTATTGATTTTGTATTGACCGTCATTCTTTCGGAGTACAATAAAGAGTTTTTGTTCTTCATTAATGTTTTACTATTTATCTTTTCCAAATAAATTTTAATTGTATGTGTAAGTCTTGATAATTTTTAAAAAGAAAACTAGGAAGAATATTTAACCATAGGCAGAATTTTACTCATAAGAGGGTGTGGGTGTGGGTATCATTATAGGTCTTGTCTTCACCCACACCCATACCCTGTGATAGATATGCACTTAACATAAGACAAGTTAGCCCCCATATAGCCATACATAGTGATTTTCTTTGTGCAATATTTGTCATTGATAATAAAGTCCATTCATTAACTTTAGCTGAATAACGTGCATTAATTAAAGCACGAAAAAAAAACTAATGTGTGCAAGTAATAATGATAAAGGATGTAATAAAAGTAAAGCTTCATATGGTAATGTTGATGATTGTTTAGTACGTTCATATAATTCTTCAACAAGTTCAATAAGAATATTATCTGATGATGATATTATCGATGAACTATCAATTATTGTTTGTTCTTTATTAACATGTTCATTATTTAATGAATTTGTATTTTTATTTGGTCGTTGTAATAATGTATAAATACGTGAAAGTATTAACACCATATATCATTTTTGGGATATTGACCAACTATTAAAAGTTTTTCAAGACTAATTGACATAATTTTTTGTGTTAAATTATCATCTTTAATTAATAATAACAAAATATCGTATGAATTTAAATCAACTTCATGACTTTCAAGTAAAAATAAACATGATGCATATGCATGAATTTTAGTTAATTTTAAATTGTGTTCAATTGAACGTAGATATAATTCATTATATTCTTTTGTTGTTTGTCCAAGTAATATACTAGATTTACATAAATTATAACTTATTAAGGATATTATTAAATCATCTTCATCAAACCATGTACAAATAAATCAGATAGATATATAATTGAACCTATTAATTTATATTACATATATTTCAATTAGAATTTGTAATGATAATGTTAAATCAAAACCATGATGAAAAAATAAGTGATCAAATAAACTCTAAATTATATATTTTTAAAGATGGATGCCAGAAAAGAAAATGTTCATAATCTAGTTTTTTGATTGATAGAATTTATTTGAAATTATTGATATAAACTTTTATCTCTATGAAATAAGATAGTTTGCATGTATTATATATCAAATCAAAGTCAGAGAAACACTAGATTTTCTGTTTGATGAAATTAATAATTTAGCAATGAATTTATCTTTCTTTTAACTTAGAGTTCTATTTGTCGATTATTAAAACATATGTGAGACTTACATTAACTGATAATGGTAATGTATTATTACTTTGGATTGATGTTAATATAGTATCATATTAAAGTTGTCCATAGGATAATAAATCACATGTACTTAATCGTTCAATATTTGTAAATAAATTATTTGAACTTGTATCTAATATTGATAAAAAAAGAACAGATAAAATCTAGTTTATTTTTCAATCTTGTTACTATTGTGTTGCATTTGTTTCTAAAGTTTCTTCTATTTTTTTAAAATTATTTGTTGTTTGTTTATTTTCATCATTAGATTGATTTGTGATGGATTAATTGAAGCTAAAAATGAAGCTTATATTTCTTGAAATTGTATTCTTAATAATCAACCAACTCCAAAATTGTCTTTATATAAATATTGGTAAACAAAATAATAATATAGCTATACAATGTAAATCATGTCAATAAATATATGATATATATATATTTAATTTTTCTTGTTAAATAATAAAGATGATCTTTTATCTAGTTCAATTAAATTTAAATATGATTATAATATATTTGATATAGTTAAACCATGTTGTTGATAAATATATTCAAATATTGATAATAGTATTTTCGATAATGTACAACATGATATTATTTGATCTGTTTCACAACTAAGAAATCATGTTTTTTTTTTGAAATATATTTATATAAATTATTTCTGATATAAATATTATAAAACATAATAAATCACGTATATCACCTGTTGAAAATTGACATGTTAATTCAGCATAATTTTTTATTTTATCAAAATATATTGATAGAGAATCTATGAATGCAATTGAATATGGTTGATTATTAGAAGCATGACAAAAGACTTTTTTCATAAATTTTATTAGGTGTTGTTTCAATGTCATTTTAATTTGTTTCATTTGATATAACTATACAAAATCCTAGGAAAACAAATAAAGAACAGATTTATATTGTTTCTTATTTTCTCAAATCAATTTTCATTTACTATAAGAATCATCCTAAAAATTTAATGCTGTGGAAAAAATTCAATACGTTTTCAGAGTTCACGAGTTCAAACTTATAGAGAGTTTATCGAAATTCTCGAATGCAATTTATTTCGAAATATAATATTAGAAAGACGTCGTTTTCTTTAATTGTAACAGTACAAATAGCACGACTGAGAATTTGATCAATAAGATTCGAGAGGAATTATTCGGTCATTGTACTAATGTAGCTTAAATGCTTTCCTTTACAATTTGTATTACCTGAAATTCTGCATATTTTCTATTTCAAAATATTTTTCGAAATTTTGAATTATTCAAAAGTCTCATCTATTACTAGCACATAAACAATGTCAAAGTAAAAAAAAAGACATTTCTTTTAATTGGATTAAAATTTTTATTATACATATATATATTTATTTATTTCGATAAATTACACTAAAACATACAGATGACATCATAAATGGTAATCAGTTTTTATAAGTTACATTTTTAAGTATTTGTGCATAAATTTTTCTTGTTATATTCATAGGACAATTAAGATTATTAAAATCTTCTTTAATAATATCAATTGATGTTGTTATTGATAATATTTATAATATTAATGGTAAATATTTAGGTCGTAATTGTTTATTTAATGGTAATGGAAGAAATTGTTCAATTAATAAAACTAATATAAGACCACTTTCATATAAATGTATTCCTTCACAAACGAATAAATGACTTGCAACTGATGTATGATGTATAAGATAAAATAAAAAATAATAATAATAATTGATAATGTGTTGTTATTGATGTAAAATGTTCAACATATAATTTATGATGATATATTAAATCACAATAAGATTGTAATTGACCACTGATAGATAAATGTATTCTTGATGATGATGGTGTTAATATTGATGACCAGCATGCTTCTTGTGTATAATCAAGCATATTCAGCATATGTATCCATTGTAATAATAATGAGATATAAAATGATGATCATAATAATTTAAAACATTCATTTAAAATAGTTAAATATGAAAATATATCAAGACGATGTACAGTTTCATCATGAATTAATCGTTGACATAAATCATTTACAATTGTTCGAAATTTGTTTAGCCAAAATAAAATTACAGGTCGTATATAAGCATAGGAATTTTAAAGTCAAATGTTTTTCGCTAGGTCATTAGTAATTAGTGAATTGCAGGAAAGTTTTATCTTCAAATTAATGGGTGATATGTACATAAAGATAATCGGATGCAAGAGAAACTAATGTCATATTGATTTGACCACATAATTGTCAAGTATTAGTTAAAATTCGTAATATTACGTCATGTAAAATTCGAAGAAAAGCTCTGAAAACAAAAACGAGAATAATAGTTTTTAAATTATAAATAAAATCATTTCGAATACTTACGCACTAAAAGTTTCATTTCATGTTCCATTAACTGATAATAAAACATCATTCTATCGTGTTAATATAGCATCTTCAGTTAAATTGTGTACAAGACATCGAAATATTATATTTATATTGATTAACTATCGATTTGTAGATTGACAATTGACATTCTAAAAAGAATTTTAAGCTATAGGAAAATTTTATAAATAAAAACAACGAACATTTCTATTTACTAGTGCTCGAAAAGCAACATCAAATAGTGTTAATTGTGTGGAATAAATATCCAAAAGTGATTGATTCTATTTGAACAAAAAAAAAAGTAACGTAAAATCAGAGACTATTAAAACAAAAAAATAACCTGAGATTGTAAATGAGCAAGAAGTAAATCGACAATTTGTCGTGAAAGACGTTTCCATTTATCATCTTCAATTTGAACACTATTAACAATGACTATGAACAATCGTAAAGCCTATAACAATATAAATTCTATTATTATTTTTTCAGTACATACACATGATATGCAAAGATACTTTTATTTATAATAATTAAGACGCCTAGTTTTCCTTCAAACTCCAATACATAACAACAAGATGATTATTTTCAGATCATCAATTCGTTGAAGTGTGGGTGTAGGTTCAATCGAGGAGAAAAATTACATATACACACCCACACTCACAACTTCTCGAGTTTCTAAGATATTTGAGATATTATAGAAGGACACTTTTTGTTCACTTTCATTTAATAAAACTTTTTAGGAATTTTAATTATTCGCATAACTCGAACAAGAAAAAAATCATATAAAACTGGTTCTAATGCTGCCAAAGGTAAATAAAGAATTTTAACGATAATTTCTTTTTCTCGAAAATGTTTTTTTTATTGCTTCCTACCATGTGTTTCAGGTTCATGTCCACTTGCTAATAATGAATCATAATGTTTTATTAAATCTTGTATTTTAATAACTCGTTTTGAATGAAGCGTATCATGTGATAACATTACAAGAAATTCAGCAATACAATAAATATAATGCTAGTTACAAATAAATGAAACGATTAGAAATGCAACGAATTTCATCAGCTTCTAATTAACTATAATTAACACGAATTAAAAGTAATTGAACAAGTAAATCGAGTACAGCAGCTTGAAAATCACTTTCATTTGTATATTAATATATTTTTTAAGACTAATTTTTTAGTTCAATAAAAACTGTAAAATAGAAAACAAAAAAACAGAATAGATCAAATTCGTTTTTTTTTGTTTATTTTACTTTCGTATTGCACTATTTATACTTGATGCATAACGTGAACCAAATAAAATAAATTATCGATTGTCGAATACTTATTGTATAAATATAAGTTAAAGAATTATTTAATGATACTTGTGAAGAAACATTTGAAGATTTAATAAAAACTAAATTAAAAGAATATTATGAAATTAATGTTGCGTTAACAGAAAAAATGATTTTCAAATTTCGAATTGATAGCGTTTCTTGCAGATCGCTCACGTCAACTAGATGATTTAATATTCGAATTTCAAGATAGAACCGAATCAAAAGATCTGACACTTTCACAACAAAACTACTCTCGTTAAGATCATCGATATTTGTAAAATCAGTTTTTCTGTTACTATGACATTCTTATATTGAAATTTTTCTTCTCAAGGAAAGACCCTTTCAGAAACCTTCATTATAAGATTTCCATCTAAAGTTTTATCCATAGACAAGTTTCAGACACAATACAACATCCTAAAGGTTTTAGCTTAACCAATAAATAAAGAAGATTAATAATTGAAATTTTCTTTACAATAAATATTTACTATTTAAAAGAAGTTACGTTTTGTGTACATTGAATGTTGATTTAAAATAATTAAGTGTTTCTCTTCCAAATTTTTTTGATAAATCTTGTGTAGAAATAAGACTTAAAACTGATTTCATAGACAATAATAATCATTTCTGATGAATTTAATAAACTTTTATGTATTTGATAAGATGAACGTATTAATTCGAATAATTTCCAAAAGTACCTAATTGTGTACGATTAACTTTTTTTATCTTTGTCTGTGATGTTGTTGATGAATCTTTATTATTCTCTTCAAAAAAAAACAAATGAATTCGTTCAGACGAAACATGATTACATATATTCTTCAAATCTAACACTTTGAAACTCCTTTCTTCTGTGAAAACTAAAATATCAACTATATTCTGTCCAAAAGAATGATGATAAAATAGTTCAATTTTTCGAATTACTTGAATCATTTGTGCTACTTTCAAAACATTTTTTCATTTGTTGAGATTTGATAAATCTTCAAATAAAAAGAAAGAATTCAAAAAAACATAATCTCTTTTTTCTCTTTACTTGAAAAGATTAAATTATTAAGATCATGTAATATAAAGGGATGTTTAAAAAAAAATTATGAATAAACGAAGTTCATCATATTGATTATGAAAAAATTGGTCGAATTGTTGTTGGTCTTAAAACATTTGAAAGAACATAAATATCTTCTAAACATCCAACCTATATAAAAGACAAAAATAACAAACAATTTGTATTCGAGTTGATGCTTAAACGTGTAATGAATGATGAATTTTATATATCCATTGGCATGGTAAAAATGAATTGTGATCAACAAACCTTAAAATCAAAAAGTAGCTAATAACTAACTTAATGTAATAAAATCGACTTATTCATTCAAATTCGAAAAAAAGCTACCTAGTTAATATCTCTACAAAATACATACTTAGCAAAAGTCGAAGCAGTTGCTTGACGGACACGTATATCAGGATACTGTTGTTTTAATTGTTGTTGTTGTTCAAGATAAGTTAATATTCGAAAATCAATGTCATCTATAAGTTGAGCTAGAGCAAACTATTTTATATACATACAAAAAAAATTATTATAATCATATTTTTGTTTTATCTACTTTAGCAAGAACATAGGAACTTGTAGTATGTTGCATAGAATCTTCTAATAATTCAATTCCTATGATTGTAAATGCATGACTATTAATTAATCAAAAAAGGTAATAATGTTTGTAAAGGATTTAGTGAAACATGTATAACACGTGCATTATTATCATTAAGACATAAAACCTTGAACTGTCTTGTGAATCAGTTGATACAAGTGAACATTGATTAATAAAAGAATTATTAAATGAATTTGTTAATGACGATAGTGTTAAAAGATGAATTGTTGTTTGAATTAATGTAACAAGTAAATTTGCACATGCACCACGTAAATGTAGATCACCGTGTTCACATAAAGATAAAAGATATGTAATATCTTAAAGAAAAGAAAAAAAAAGATACCTTGATGTTCGATAAATTTTAATGTATTACAAGTCATATAGTGTTATGGTTTATTTCATTCAGCCATGACATCTATACCTCGACTATTTCTTTCGTGTTTCCTTTCTTATTGTTGTTATATATATGTATTGTGAAATAAAGACGAGGGGGGTTATGTTCTAACAGATATCGAACACGCCTATTCATCTAGATATCGAACATAACAAGTGGTGACAGCGGTTTAGAAAAAAAAAAAAAAGATTTTTTTCTTTTTTAATTCAACGACGGTTATAATTTCTTAAAGAAGGAATCCTTCTTAATTAGGAGTTGATTCTGTCCTACGTATTCAACGACGAAACCTAATTTTCAATTATGACTAATGTTGATTCACCTTCAAATTTAAATGAAGATACAAAAACAATCGAAAAAACGATGCAACCAGTTCTTACAACACAAGCACAACATATAAGTACACCAAATGAATCAGTACGTCGACATGTTCGAATTTTAGCAGAAGAAGAAAGAATTAGTACAGATAAATGGTTATCCATATTGAATCAAGTTTATGATGATTTGAATTATTCACCATCACAGCGTATAGCCTATGCGGTCAAATTTTTAGATGAAGAACAAAAAGCATGGTATGAACAAAATAAAGATGAAATTAAGAATGATTGGACATTATTTCGTGAACGATTAGAACACAATTCATCTAATCATAAATTAATTCGAACAACTGCTCCGTCGATTAATACTTCAATATTAAACAATACGGGACGAGTTGTACTTGAAGACCTTATCGATGAAAAGTTTGACAAATATTCAGGTGTTGGTGATGCAAGAAATTGGTTATTGCAAACCATGAATCAATTTAAAGCATGTGGTTTACGACGTGATGATCAATTTGAAGCTATACCTTTATTATTAGAGGGCGATGCTTATTTATGGTATGCTGACAACAGCGATGCAATTTTCAACTTCGAAACATTTACCAAGTTATTTCTTCAACAATTCAAATCAACGATATCATCATCAACAAGTTTTACAGGGGGTACGGGCACATTAGTGACCACAGTACCTGATTACTCATCTACATCACATTTACAACGAACCGTGGCAGATGAAATTATTAAGAAACCAACATATTTTCGTGGTTCACAAGATGATGTACATGATTGGTTAGACAAGTTAGAACAACGTTTTACAATGGCAAACTGGAATGACGAACAAAAATTACGATATATTTCTATACATTTACAAGATGATGCATACAGATGGTGGATGCAAACATTCACATCAATTAAAACATGGTCATCATTTATTACAGCTATTACACAAGCTTTTGGATCAACAAAGGTACAAGAAATTGCATTTGAACAATTAAAATGGTATAAACAAACAATTAACCAATCCATTACACAATATTATGACAAAATTATTGAATTATGTAAGAAAGTTGATCCTGTGATGCCTGATTCTTTGAAATTGAAATATTTAATGGCTGGAATTAAAGAATCATTGAAGACGCATGTTGCATTACAAGATCCTCAAACAACAGAAGCATTTTTATTATCGGCAAGGAAGATTGAAGATGTATTATCACTCACCAAAACAAATAATGAATTACCTGATAATGACATCACCATTATTAATTCAACTGGTTATCAAAATCAATTATACGATCAAGCAACATTCACCCGACCATCAAACAATAAATATAATCAAAAAAATACTGGCTATGCAGATGCAGCACAATCTCGTACAACTTCTAATAAGAATACAACAGCTGGAAATAACGCAAATCGACAAAATAAATTCTCAAATTCTACAAGATCAACACAGAAATTAGGTGTTTGTTACAATTGTGGTACTCCTGGCCATTATGCCCGGGATTGTACCCGTCCCCATTTTCAATAGGGGAAGCATCGGTCGATGGTGTTGCTTCCGACAATTTACATATCAATCCATCGACATTAAACACATCCCTTTTATATCTTAATGTTTCTGTTAATAATAAATGTATGAAGGTAATGATAGATACAGGTGCAAATAGAACTTTTATCTCAATTAAATCATTAGATCCATCATCAGGTAAGATGTTTGTTAATAAATTACATAAGTGTGTAATTTTAGCTGATGGATGTTCGTCTATTTCTGTTTACGGTACATTAAATTTATCTATCATTATGGGTGATACATCAACTTCTATTAAAGCATTTGTTGTTAAAGAATTATGTGCTGATTGTATATTAGGAATGGATTTTATCAACAAGTATAAACTAATTATAAATACGGAAGAAAAAATTGTTTCACTTTATAATAATTATAAACGTACAACATTAAAATTTGATATTAATTCAAATGAAAATAAATATCCAGCACGTCTAATTAATAATATTCGAATTCCACCAAAACAGACAAGGTCTATTCCTGTTTCTATTGAACTATTATCAGCTAATGTAATATTTCGTCCATCGTTTAAATTACGACAACGAACATCTGTACTCACGTTAAATTCTTCGTTAAAAGTTCATGATTATACCTCGAATGTTTCACTTTATAATCCAACTAATTATTCATGTTCATTACCGAAAGGTTTAATACTGGGAACAACTACTATTCCTACATTATCTTTCAAGAAAAATTCAACTATTGATTATGAATTAGTAAGCACAAACATCACCAATTTAATTCAACATATTACTAACCCTGATCGACATGAAAAAATTAAATCTATCCTTTATCAACATTCAAAATTATTTGATACTAGTAAATCTACAATTGCAACTAATGTAAAACCACATTCAATAAAAACACTTGACCATCCCCCACCAACATCAAAACCGTATTATACAACACCAAATAAACAAGAAGAAATGTACAAGATAGTACAAGAATTATTATATTTTGGTTTAATTCGTCCTTCTTATTCTCCATATGCTGCACCTGCTTTACTTGTACCTAAACATGATGGTACTTGGCGAATGGTGGTTGATTATAAAAAATTAAATTACATCACAATAAAAGATAGTCATCCATTACCCAAAATGGAACAAGCAATTCAAACATTAGGTGGTGGTTATAAATTCTTTTCAAAACTCGACATGAAAAGTGGGTTTTGGCAGATTCCAATTGAAGAAGAAGATCGACACAAGACTGCATTTATTACACCTGAAGGACTTTATGAATGGAATGTCTTGGCACAAGGTTTAATGAACAGTCCACCGTCATTTCAACGTGTTATGGCCGATATATTATCTCCATGTCGTCAATTTGCATTAGTTTATATTGATGATATTGTGGTTTACTCTCGATCATTCGAAGAACATCTTAAACATATTCATCAAGTGCTGTCAATTTTATCACAACACAATTTTCAACTTAACCCCTCCAAGTGCAGTATTTTTCATCAACAAATTCATTATTTATCACATACAGTATCGGAACAAGGTGTTAAACCTAACCATGAAAAAATCCAAGCAATAATTAAATTAAGGGAACCTTCCACCTTAGCGGAAGCAAATAAGTTCCTGGGTGCCATTTCATGGTACCGTAAATTTATTCCTCGATTTGCAGCTATAGCTGCACCTATACACAAAGTAACAAATTTAACGAAAGCAAACAGGAAAAAATTTACTTGGGGAGAACCACAAAAAGAAGCATTTTTACAATTGAAACAATTGTTGGTAACCTCTCCTTTATTTTTGGATTATCCTGATGAAGATCATCCAGTTATTTTGACAACAGATGCATCAAAAGTTGGTATTGGAGGAACATTACAACAACACATTAATGGTGAAACCAAAAATCTTTATTATCACTCTCAAATGACATCATCCAGTCAACGAAGATATGATCCAATTGAATTAGAAGCCTTAGCAATATGGATGTGCTTTCAACGTATGCGACCATATTTATTGGGAAGATCAATCATTATTTATACAGATCATTGCCCGTTATGTAACATGATGAAGTCAACAGTAAAAAATCGAAGAGTTGATCGTATATCAATATTATTACAAGAATTTAATATCGAAAAGATCATCCATATTAAAGGTCAACACAATTGTTTAGCTGATTACCTATCCCGTCATCCAATTCCAAGAGAAGAAGAAATATTTGACGAAGATTATGGTATTGCTAAACGAGATAAAGGGGAACCGACTGTTATGAGTCGTGTTCCTGATGATACTACTCCACTAGCTGGAGCAGTTACGACAAGGTCCAAAATGAAACAACTGCAATTAAAACAAGATCAAAATTCAACATTACCACCAATAGAAGAAGAAGCTGATCAAACAAAAGAAGATTCATCACAAATTATTGCAAAAGATACACTGGATATAGAACGATTAAAAATTGAACAAGGAAAAGATTCGATTATTCAACAAAAAATCGCAGAAGTTATGAAAAATCCAGTAAAAAGTTCTTATGAATTCAAAGATGGTTTATTATATAAGTTAATGATTATGCGTGAAGGTTGTAATACAAAGAAAAAATTAATTTATTTACCTTCATCTATGATTAATGATCTTTTACAAGTTTATCATAGTGACCCTCTTAGTGGTCATTTTGGAGTCCAACGAACATATTTGAAAATTAAAAATAAATACTGGTGGCCGAATGTGAAGCAATCTATTACACAATATATACAATCATGTTTACCTTGTCAACAATATAATATTAGCCGATCGAAGAAACCTGGTCGATTACAACCAATTCCACCACCTGAAGGACCATTCCAATTAATTGGTATGGATTATTGTGGTCCATTTAAACAAACTCCACGTGGTAATAAATATGTATTATGTCTTACGGATTACTTCACAAGATGGGTGGTTGCTGCTGCTGTACCTGATTGCTCAGCTCAGACTACTGCTGAAGCATTATTTAATGAATTCATTTGCAAGTATGGGGTACCGGCAGTCATATTATCCGACCAAGGAACGCACTTCCACAATCAATTAATGGAAGCTATGTCAAAATTAATTGGATATAATCACATTTATTCAACAACGTACCATCCTCAATCAAATGGAATGGTTGAAAGATTCAACGCAACATTCGTTCCGCAAATTGCCAAGCTCCAAGATAGAGAAAACAACAATTGGGATGAATTCTTGTTACCTGTAGTATTTGCATATAATACAGGAACACACTCAACAACTCAATATTCACCATTCCAGTTATTGTTTGGAAGAGAACCAAGACTACCTCCTGATGGAAAATTATATTCATTTACATTTAATAAACCAAATGATTATTATGAGCAATTGAAAAAATGTATGAAAGTGATGCATACATATGCACGTGAAAATATTCTTCGTCAACAACATCAATATAAAGTTCGATATGATCAACGACGTTCTAATCCCCATTATGAAATAAATGATCGTGTTTTAATTAGAAGACATGGAATGAAAAATAAATTAGAACCAAAATTTTCAATTACACCACAAATTATTATTCGTGCACAACACCCTGTTTACATTGTTAGAGATGAAATAACTCAAGTAGAAACACAAGTGCACATAAATGATATTAGACCTATTTATATTTCAAAGCAAAATTAAATTAATTATAAACAGAAGAATCAACAACACCAGATTCATTAAAACTTTTATCAATATTGTTATAAAAAAAAAAAAAAAAAAAAAATTTTTTTTATTAGTACTTGTATTAGAAATTTTTATATTTCTTATTAATTTTTGGAAAAGATTTATGTGAACGATGTTTATGTTAATCTATGTTAGATGTATGGCCAACAACTGATATAGAATGACATTTATTATCTAGAAATTGAAGTAATTGATATTTTAATAAGCGCGCGTTAAAAAATCAATTTTATTATCAAATCCAAATGGAAATTAATAAAAATAATATTTGCAATTAAAAAAAAAAAAAAAAAAGATGATGATGATCAAGTGAATAGTGTTAACAACCACTCCGTGGTTGTTGACGGGATGAATAATCCAACTGAACATCACCACCAACGAATTAAGAAAAAACGATCACTTCAAGCAAAACAAAAAAAAAGAACCGAAAAAGAAACAACCAATTACGATTACATCGATATGAATATTATTTAACAAGATCATATTACTATCGATTTAAATCAAGAACCATTAAAAAAGTTCTTCGATACTATGGTGTACAATATCGACATACAAAATTTCAAGACGATCGAGTGGTTATTGGTGTTAAAACTAAGGCAGCTCGACGTGATTATGAAGAAACATTACCATACAATTGTTTCAACAGGAGGAATTATGGGAGATTTAGCAGGTGATCATTAAATCGAACGGTAACTTGTTCCTTTTTTCTTTTTTTCTTCTCCATCTATTAGATTTTGTTTGTTAAACAGATATTTTCCTTTCACTTGTCTTTCGTTAATTTTTTTTTGTCAGATACTACTGATATTTTACACATTTTTTTTTCCTTTTTTTGTTATTTTCATATGTTCTTTCAGTAAAAAGTGTTTGTGCAACAAAACTTTTTTCTTCAAGGGGAAGGGTGTTATGGTTTATTTCATTCAGCCATGACATCTATACCTCGACTATTTCTTTCGTGTTTCCTTTCTTATTGTTGTTATATATATGTATTGTGAAATAAAGACGAGGGGGGTTATGTTCTAACAGATATCGAACACGCCTATTCATCTAGATATCGAACATAACATATAGAGATGTGAATTTCATTTTTTCCTTTAGAGAATTCTATGTCAATTACAAAATTATATCTAATCAAAAATCTTCAAAGACTAATGAAAAATTCCTTAGAGGATACAATTGATTTCATATCTCGAACTTCGGCTTAGAACTATTTTTTGAGGTAGTTGTGTGATTCGATAATTTCAATCTCTGATGTATAAATGCAGGCTTTGAGCTTCAATAAAGTGTTCTACTTGATATCGTTTCGAGTCTGATAATGTTCTAGTCTTTTGTTGGTTTCAAAAAAATTAAAAGTAGGAATAGGACTAGAGCTGCTGAATCAATATTGAGAAATCTCCTTTCTTGAATTTTCAGATTCCAATATATATATATATGTTTCAACAATTTAATAGTGAAATTGTCATATCTATCAGATAACTTTCACTAAAACTTTGAGACCTTAACCAATTGAAGCCACGTCAACTAAACTCTGTCATAATCCCCTTCACCTAGGCCCTCCTACTGTTACGACATTAGAAATAATTTTGGATTATAAAAAAAAGTCAAACAAGAATTAAACATACTTTCAGTAAGATAAACAAATGGATCAAATTGTTTATCAATACGAGACATATTGATATAGCACATTTAACACTAATACATGATTCATCATCACTTTTTATCGTACCATCCATATTAAGTATATATCTAATCGGAAAAAAAATGTAATTGATTAACAAGTTTAGCAGCTGATATTCATTTTTCATTATTAATCATTGATGTTGAATCGAATTCATCATTCATTTCAATAAATCAACGTTGATATGCTGAATAAGCTATTGTTTTAGAAAAAAAACAAATGAAAAAAAATTCTTGTTTTTTTTTCTCAATATTTACCTGTTTTTAAGGCTTCACTGACACGAATTTCTTCTATAGATCCAATTTGAATTGAAATTAATAATTGATCAAAATCAAATAAATTTGAATATTTAAGTATAATTTCATGTGTTTCCAATGAACTTGATACGACATTATGATCATTATGTTGTAAACCAATATAACATACCATATCAACACACTAAAAAAAGATTTACATTGAAATTAAAATCATTCATCATTTGTTGAATACTGATTGAAAGATGTTATTCATTTGTCTCAATATTTTTTACTTCTATTCATTGATTGTTGATTATGATTGAAATTCTTAGATATTTAAACCAAATAATTGAGGGTCGGGATGTGTAGGGATAAGCAATACAAACACTCACACTCACTTCTCAAAATGCCTGAGTCTTCTTAAAGCACATTCGCCATACTTTCTTCGGATGCATCTAACGAAGTTTGAGTGATAAATAGAGTTTTTCATACATCGAACGATAAAATAAAAAATATAAAATTTTTCACTTATTTATTTTGAAGCTTTCAACACTACTTCTATAATTATCAATTTCAAAAAAAATTTACGATAGAAAATATCATAACTCAAATTTACGCATATACAAATATCAGTGTATATTTTATCATTGCAACAACACGAAACGCAAAGGTAACGTAAAAAAAGAAGTAGAATATAAGTATGAAAAACGAAACGCATTTTATGACGAACACATGGTCGAAAAAGTCGTTTACATGATGAAAAAGTCATGCTTCATTGATTCATGTAAATATACGTTTGTGGGAAACAACCAAGTAATTTTGTCAATGATAAATACAGAATAAAATCGATTGCAAGCACACAAAGCAAAATTTGCTATACTCCAACATTACATAGCACGTAAGTGTATTTAGTTTCTAACATTATTAGACTAGTAAGAAAATTAAAGTGAAAAGTAAAGAGTAGCTACACACAAAAAAAATGACGGTACATAAACATGTGTTATTTTTATGTTTATAAAGTAGTTTTACGAGAACTTCGCTTGATGATACATGCAACCGATTGTCTTGGTTGCAGAATCTTGTATGTATAAAACAATCTTATTGTAAAACATATTAAACAGAGTAACTGTTTCTATGCATAAATTTCAACACGAGTACCAGCAATGAAAGGCACAATTTTTACTTTTAGAAATGCTCTTTTACCGTTCTATGAACTAATAGGGACAGGTTAGATAGGCAAACGAACTAGACATGCCAAAGTTCAAGGACATTCTGGACTAGTTCAGACGTAGCTGCAGGAGTTTTCATGTCAGGATAACTAGTCAGAGCATGTATTTTCGACATTTCGGACTAGTCATGTCGTCCATCCTCAGCGACTATTTGTTTGCTTAGTCATTCTTCTTTATTTATGGTTCGATGTATAGTGACTTGATCCATCAGTTATCGTGATTTTGTCAGTAACACTCTTGAAACAAAAATGAACCAGATAGTAGAGGTTCTTGAAGTCTGTAGCCACAAGTCAGAAAATGAATGATGTTAACCAACAAAAAATTTAACAATTATAAATATAGGGGACTACATTTCACTGATTATATCCATTCGTTCAATTACAATGAGCAAACAAAAGTCGACAACAACTGTTACCAGTGGTGCAGCAGCGATGCCTAGCACCACCACTATTACCAACGCGAACAATCGCGCTGCTGTTGTGTTGCCTCGACCTAGGCGTCGAGAGCTTCAAAACTCTCTGCTGGTATGGCTTGATACCGATTTCAATGAATCCAAAGGCGATTATAAAAAATCAATACAACATTTACGAAATATTTTAGAAACAGTGACAACATTTACAGACATTGA